TCCCTCCTAAGGCCTCATATTTACCACTCAGGATTTAGCAGGCTTCCTTTGATAAATTACTTAAAGTAATCCTTGAAACAGCTAGACTATCTGGGTGACATGGTGTTAGATGTCTTCAAGCCATCCCTGTCTATAAAATATTCACTTGCAGACTACAAAGGGGGGACTGTTTTTAATGATAAAATTTATAACTTGATGAAAAAGGGTAAGATAATATCTATAAATACAGATAATTTTATTTCAAATACTGAATTAAGGACATTATATTTCACTGGTTTACACAGTAATGAAGGTAAAATAGAATTTTTGTATGTGATGTGTGGCCAGAGTTGCCAAGCATATGACATAGGGGAGTTTCAACTTTCAGAAAACTTTTCATTCTTCAAGACCTTTTATGACGTAAGGACAGATGCACATTTAGGAATTTGCAAAATGTAGGTATAGATAGTAACATACAAATTCATATGGAAGCTTTATTGCTTCAGGAGAAAATGTGCTGTTGCATAATTAAAGATAATAAGTTCTGCCCCCTTTTTTTTTTTTTTTTTTTTTTGGTAAATGTTTATTATGTCTCTCCCAAGAATCAGCAACTTGGAAATGCATTTTCCATGTTCCTTATAAATGCATCCTCCAAGGCTGAAGTTCTTGAAGCTTTATGGCAGTTTTCATTAAAGCAGCCAGCTGCCTTTTTGTGTGGATTGGCTGTTCAAAGCTCTAGATCTGAAGCCGGAGCCTCAGTTTTGACATTCTGCAGGCCCTTAGTAAAGAAGTTCCACTCAGAGGTTGGAGGGGGGTCTCACCAAATCAAACAGCTGCTGGGGTCTAGCAGAAGAGCAGGAAGCACAGGAATGAATGACTGAGACAAGGCTTTTTAAAAAGAGGAGGAGGAGTAGGGACATTCAAATATGATCCTCCAAGGTGGATATATGAAAAAAGAAACAGTTTCTTTTTCTAGTTTTACCTAGGTTTAAACCAGCTGCCACCTCCACTCCCCCAATGGCCATCTCCTAAGAAAATTCTTACTGTTTTCTTTCGTTTCCTGATTCCTATTATCCTGGGACTACATAAATAAGAAAAAATTAAGATCAAATGAATACCGTTTCACTCTGTTTTAGTAATCGTGTGCCTCCAGCTCAATGTATGGGAGTGGTCATGGTGGGTTTTCTGTCAACTCCTGGTATATAGAAATAAATAAATGCTATTTTATATATGGTGTGAGTGTGTTTACTAGACGGAAGAGTTAATAAATTAGAGTTCAAGTGACAGTGCATGGACTGACCCCATAACTGTTACTCAGGTGGAAATTTGGGGGGTTTTGTCAAGGTGCTAGGTGCTACTAAGACCCAGGTCGAGCTCACTATCTCGAGGAGTGTGAAAATGTGAGAGATAACATGGATGTCTTTTTGGTGTAGTTCTGTTATTCTAGGATGTTTCCCCTCCACTCAGCGCACCCCAGCAAGAGGGAGTCGGCTCCGTTTCTTCAGACAAGTCCAGCTCAGGGTACTGACTGAGTAGAGGTTCTTCCGGACCTGGGAGAAAAAGCTGGGGTGGTGCCAGCATCTCCCCACAGGTGCCTCCATCCTGTCCTTGCGGAAGGGGCTTAGGACACCGGGCAGTCTGCGCCCGGAGGCGGCGAGGCCCGCATGAACCGCCTGCTCAGCCATTGTCCTAGCGAGTGATCTCGAGGAGCTGTGCTGGAGTGAGGGAGATATCAAGACACCTTGTCAGTTCAAAGCATTTTAGCGTTGTTTGAAATCCTCTCCACGTCAACGTAAGCAGTCTGTGTATTTGAACAGCTGCTTTGAACAGTGAAAGGGAATGAACTGAATCAAAACCTGGAGGTGTCTGCCCGAGACACCTTCAACGTGCTTTTATGCGGGCGGAGAATGGCAGGCAGACGCGCGGACTCTGCCCTGACACGGTCAGCCCAAAGAATGGGCCCCGAGAGCACGGGGCGGGGGAGGAACCAGTGGAGAGGCCCCCGACTGGACCTAAAATCTGCGAGAGCTCAGGTTTCAGGAGCCCCAAAAAGGTGCCGCGTTGGGAGGCAGACCAGGAATCCCAGGGTGCTCGGAACCCGGCATTCGCGCCAACCGGGCCCCGGGCGCCTGGAGGGGAGGCGGCGGTAGCTCGTGGGGAGGTGGTGCTCAGAGCTGTGGTGTGCGCCCAGCCTGGCCCGCCTGGCGATTGGCCGCGCTCGGGGGTGGGGGTGGGGTGCAGAGACTGAGGCCCCGGGTAGGCTATTGCTTTGTGTACTCCCGGGGATTTATTGGGTATATTAAACCCTGTTGGGAACGTTTCGGCTCCTCGGCCGCCAGCGAAATGAGACGGGGGTGGAGGGTGGAGTGGAGACCTGGGAAGTCAACGTGGGAAGGATCTCAGCATTAATCGCCGGTGTTGTCCTATGGCAGACAGGAAGTTTTGATGTACACGTGCAGCCTAAGCTTGTCCTCTCACACTAGCGCCCTTTGCGGGGAGGAGGGCGGGGGGTGGGGTGGGGTGTGGAGAGAAAGATAAGAGGAGGAGGAACTTTTCAATTGATTCAGAGCCAGGCCGCCTTAGTTCCCTCGGAGATGTATTTGGAAACTTCATTCTTCTCTCGAGTGTATCATCCTATGGGCTGCAGAAGGCCTTGTCCCTCGAGAAATGTGAAATTAAATCCAGAGAAAAGCAGACACCTGCCCCAGAAAGGTGGGGGCAGTATGAGCTGCTTAGCACTCGGACGCGGCCCTTCCCCAGGGCTGGATTCTTCTGTCCGTGAGAGCTCTGAGCTCCCAGGTCCGAGAAAAGAAAGGCGCGACGTGTCAGGAGAAGATGCGACTGGCGGGCTGTCTGTGCGCTCCCCAAGGCCCAGGGAAAGTCACGCGCCTAGCACAGGGGGCGCAGGGCCGAAGTAGGGAGAAGGCGGTTCTGCCCGCCACCCAGCCCCTTGGCTCGCGATTGAGGAGCCCCGGGCACCAGCCACTGAGTCTGCGCGCTGAGGCTCGGACTTTTTCATTTTTTCCTAGCTGGACAAAGTTATGGGATTCCTAGCAGCCCCCAGGCGCGCGGCCAGAGTGGCCCCGCGCTTGCGCTGGGACGGAGCGACACGCTGTGTGTGTCCTCGCTTCGCCTCGCCGCGCGGGTGCGCGCGTTGTGGGGGTGCAGGTCTGTCCTGCTGGCGGCCTGTGGGCTCGCCCCTCCCCTATCCATTTCTCTCCCACACACACGCTCATAAACACAGGACACGTGGAAATTCTCAGCCAAAGCGTCTTGCCCGGGCGGGTGCTCAACGTGGTGATTTATAAACAGCTCAGCCACTCTCCAAAGAGCATGGCTCCTTGTTAGTCATGATGAATTTTCTGGCCCGCTCCAGTCTGCTGTCTGGATTCAGATGCTCAGAGGCCCCAAAATGCTCCCTCTGAGCGTTGATTTGGCTGCCCTCTCAAGCCTACGACCGCCGGCAAAACCAGCGACAGAGCCAGGGGAGAGGTGGGGAGGCGATCCAGGTTCCCTGGGGTCTGTCATTCCTTTCCCGGCAGTAACTGTTGATTTCGCTTTACAGCGCCCATGTACACACCCGGCCCTGCGTGGCGGTCACGCCGCTCCAGCCTGGGTTGGCGCCCGGGTTCTAGCTACGGGGCTTGCAGGCTCGGAAATTCGCAGGCGGCACCTGCTCTGGGCGGCTAAGGAACTGACGGCGCGACGCGCCCGCGCTCCGTAGAGCGGCGCTGCGGGTGCATGGTCCCATAGTCTTGCTCTGGAGTTCACTGCTAAAAGCTGAGCTGGAAGCTTTGGCCAGCGCCAAAGACATAGACTAACCCCACCCGCTAGCGCCCACAGAAGTTACTGATTAGGAAGGTTCCCCTGGCATCAGCCCATTTGCTTCACACACTCTTCCTCCTTCCGAAGGGGCTAACGGAAAAGTTGCACCCACCAGCGGTAGGAGCGCGGGGAATCGCGCACGCAGCCCCTCTGCGCCGCTTCCCGAGGTGGCCTTTGGCGACTGCGCCGCCCCCACGAGGCCGCACACCCCTCGCCAGCACTCCGGCAGCCTCGCACAAGGCGGAGCCCACGCAGGCTTCTAGTTTTCTAAACCAAAAACTGCGCGCGCCGGCGTGTGAATCTGACAGAGACTTTTAGAGTTTTGTTTTCTTTTCAGTTCAGACCGCTACGCTGTCAGAGCAAGCACTCTGAGTCTTCACAGGAGTGACTTAAAAGCCGCGACGCCGGCTGAGCCTGCTTCTGTCGGGGTTCTTTCCCCGAGGGACTGGGAGACAATTGGGCCTGGAAGCTAAAAGGAAGAGAGCCTGTGCCAGCCGCGGGGTAGAGGGGAAGGAGAAGAGCTTTACTGGGGCATAAGTGTCCGCACACCCTGGAGCAAGAGTCACTTGTGCACTGAAACTCTAACCGTGGAATGCAAGGAGAGTTGAACAGGGGAACAAGTCTGGCTTTTGGCTCTAGGTTTAAGAGATATACACTGTGTGTTTGTCCCTAAGTGAATAGAAATCCGACTCCCGCTGGCTGAGTGCGACCCAACTTTTCTCTTAACCCCTCCGTTTTCCCATCTTAAAGCCCTACTGGAAAAAGAAAGTGGACACCACTGCCCCCGCCCCCCACCCCAATCCTAGTCTTCCAAGTGTCTGTGGTCGGTAAGAGCACCGGGACCGCCCCCCTGCCCGGCTTCTCTGCCTGGGAGACAGATGGGGGGCGGGGCCCATCCGAGAGAGGGCGGAGGAGGCCCTGGGTGAGGAAGAAGGAGGGGGTGAGAACTGAGGGAATCTGAATCGGGAGGCGAAGGGGACGAGGAGGAGGGCTAGGAGGACTCCGAGCCCGGGGGAGGGGGAGGGAGTAGCTCTGCACCAATCAGTGGCGCCGGCCTGGGAGGTTGCTAGCGGTATCCACGTAAATCAAAGGGCGCGGAGCCAATGGGAGGGGGCGGAGGGGGCGGGGCCCAGGCGCGTGCCGCTGCGAGCCGGCGCTGCCAAGAGAGCGGGAGAGAGCTGGAGAGAGCAGGGAGAGGGGGGAGCGCCGAGCTAGTCAGAGAGTGAGCGAGAGCGAGAAGGAGGGAGAGGAGGAGAAAGAGAGCGAGGGCGGGCAGGCGGGAGGCGGCGGCGGCGGCAGCAGCAGCAGTAATAGCAGGAGCAGCAACAGAAGGCGTCGGAGCGGGCGTCGGAGCTGCCCGCTGTGGGAGAGAGAGGAGAAAGAGCTAGCGAGGAGAGGGAGCCCGAGGCGAAAAAGTAACTGTCAAATGCGCGGCTCCTTTAACCGGAGCGCTCAGTCCGGCTCCGAGAGTCATGGCGACCGCAGCGTCTAACCACTACAGCCTGCTCACCTCCAGCGCCTCCATCGTGCACGCCGAGCCGCCCGGCGGCATGCAGCAGGGCGCGGGGGGCTACCGCGAAGCGCAGAGCCTGGTGCAGGGCGACTACGGCGCGCTGCAGAGCAACGGACACCCGCTCAGCCACGCTCACCAGTGGATCACCGCGCTGTCCCACGGCGGCGGCGGCGGGGGCGGCGGCGGCGGCGGGGGGGGCGGGGGCGGCGGCGGGGGCGGTGGCGACGGCTCCCCGTGGTCCACCAGCCCCCTGGGCCAGCCGGACATCAAGCCCTCGGTGGTGGTGCAGCAGGGCGGCCGCGGCGACGAGCTGCACGGGCCAGGCGCCCTGCAGCAGCAGCACCAGCAGCAGCAACAGCAACAGCAGCAGCAACAGCAGCAACAGCAGCAGCAGCAGCAGCAACAGCGGCCGCCGCATCTGGTGCACCACGCCGCTAACCACCACCCGGGGCCCGGGGCATGGCGGAGCGCGGCGGCTACAGCGCACCTCCCACCCTCCATGGGAGCGTCCAACGGCGGCTTGCTCTACTCGCAGCCCAGCTTCACGGTGAACGGCATGCTGGGTGCCGGCGGGCAGCCGGCTGGGCTGCACCACCACGGCCTGCGGGACGCGCACGATGAGCCACACCATGCCGACCACCACCCCCACCCGCACTCGCACCCGCACCAGCAGCCGCCGCCCCCGCCGCCCCCGCAGGGTCCGCCTGGCCACCCAGGCGCGCACCACGACCCGCACTCGGACGAGGACACGCCGACCTCGGACGACCTGGAGCAGTTCGCCAAGCAGTTCAAGCAGCGGCGGATCAAACTGGGATTTACCCAAGCGGACGTGGGGCTGGCTCTGGGCACTCTGTATGGCAACGTGTTCTCGCAGACCACCATCTGTAGGTTTGAGGCCCTGCAGCTGAGCTTCAAGAATATGTGCAAGCTGAAGCCTTTGTTGAACAAGTGGTTGGAGGAGGCGGACTCGTCCTCGGGCAGCCCCACGAGCATAGACAAGATCGCAGCGCAAGGGCGCAAGCGGAAAAAGCGGACCTCCATCGAGGTGAGCGTCAAGGGGGCTCTGGAGAGCCATTTCCTCAAATGCCCCAAGCCCTCGGCCCAGGAGATCACCTCCCTCGCGGACAGCTTACAGCTGGAGAAGGAGGTGGTGAGAGTTTGGTTTTGTAACAGGAGACAGAAAGAGAAAAGGATGACCCCTCCCGGAGGGACTCTGCCGGGCGCCGAGGATGTGTACGGGGGGAGTAGGGACACGCCACCACACCACGGGGTGCAGACGCCCGTCCAGTGAACTCGAGCGGGGGGAGGGGCAGAGCGCGGGGCTCCCCCTCCCCTTCGGTCCTTGGCCCTTTCCCGGCCCTCTTGTTCCCTCTCTAACTTCTGATTGTTCTTTTATTTTTAATTATTATTTCCCCGTCCCTTAAAAAGAAAAAAAAAATAAGGAAAAAGGAAAGCAACTAAGACACTGGACTATCCTTTAAAGGTAGCAGGTGTAATGATGTGTTTTGACCTTTGCAGACGAGTAACCAGGCAATGGAGTGGAGTGTCTCCTGGAGAGAGTGAGGAGAGTGTGTGATAGATAGAAAGAGAGAGAGAGATAGAGAGATGGCAAGCACTGAGATAAATACCTGGCAAAACTAAATAAATTACCAAAAAGGAAAAAAATATCCACCAAACCATGATAAACACAAGACGCAGCTTCCTGATGCTTGGAGTTGGCACATGCTGCTGTGTTTATTTGATGTGGATTCCCATCAGGAAAGAGGAAAAAATACACACGTTCTTTGATATAGGCAAAATTTAACCACATAAATTTGCACTGCAAGAAAATTGAAGTTTACATGAACAAATTCATGAACATATTTTCTCTTTCTCCCCACCGTTAATTTGGGAATTGCCGTTTTGGGGGATTTTGTTTTGCTTTGCTTTATTCATCGGAGAGAGTTGAAGCCAGCTCTTGGCCTCTCTCCATTTCTAATGTTCTTGTGTTGCCCCTTATTCGTACTGTTTGTGAACTTTGGTTACCTTCAGATTCCCCTTACAAGGGTGTAACATCTATTTGTTCCTCTTACCAAAGCAAAACGATTGGCTTCATACAAAATAGACAATTCTCTGCTTTCAGGAAATGTGCGTGGTCTACCCGCTTTATCCAAGGCAAGAATCCAGTTTGCAATATAAAAATAAGCATTGGTTGTTGTTACGAGCCACAAAGTAAACTTCATTTTCAGGCAGTGTTTCTGGGGGAGGTTATGGAGGGAAGAAAAAGAAAAATCGATAGTGAGTGACTGATTGCTTCATTTTATCAGGCGGGCCCATTGTGAAAGAGCTCAGAGGAAATGTGGAGGTTAAATATATTTCCAGAGTTGTCCAGCAGAAAGAAAGTGGCACTTTGAAGAGAACTAGGGAAGTATATATCTTCAGATATCCCTATATAGTTCTCTACCTTCAGTTTTAGTAACAATTATGAAGAATTCTTTATGCTGACAGCAGCAGTTAAACTTTGTTTCTCTAATAAGCTTTTTTTTTTTTTAACATAAAAAAGGACCCACGAACTTAATAGTGTATGCATAAGGCTGTGTTTTTTAGCACATAAATACCCACAGCATACACAGACGATCTCCACGCAGTAGACAGGTTTTGTCTTCACTAGCTCATTTGTTTATCAAGTCATATTTAGGGTCCCACGCCCTCTTTTCCTGTAATTTATTGCAGAATATACCACTTTGACTTGGACAGCTTTCTCCCCCCTCTTTCACTAAGGAAGGCAAATGAAGGGGGAAAAAAATGCCATTTTCAATCCTTCCTTTCTCCCCTTTGTTAATAGTTTTAAGTGCATTTTTGACCTTATCTTGATGGAAAACGGTTAACTCCAAACACAAAAGACTCTACTGGAAAGTGTAGGTGAAAAAACTTGTAACTGTATTGAAAATAAATACCATTAAACTGTGATCAGTTAAAATTTAAAAGAAAAATCAGCACAAAAGGGCGCTAAAAGGGAAAACACTTTTTATTAATCTTAAAAGTTTGGGGTTTTTTTTTCCAGTTAGGTATTAGATAAATTTTTATTTTAAAAAATGAAAGTCTCACTACCATAAAATTATGGTTCAGCATCAGATTAGCATTGCACTCATTAGTCTTTAAGGTTTTAGGAAATATGCTTTATATTGTCTTTTCAAACACCTGTGATTGTTTCATTTTCAATGTTTTTGCAAGATAAATGGTGACTTATAATGGGCATATTTATTTGCCTGTATTTCATTTCCCCCAATGAATGTCACAAGGAGATGGGCACGGAGCTGCTTCGGGTACATCACGCTGCTCGTTCCTGAGGTATGGGGACTGGCCTTTAGTGAAGCTATCCAGAGCAGGGCAAATAGCCACTGGTGAAGGGAGGAAATGAATTTTCAGATACTTATTACCAAGTAGGTAAGGTCAGAAGCTGGAGTTCAGAGGATGTATCTACAGCTTCTCTGACTCTTATAGGTTTACTAAGATGAAAGTTACCACTGAACCTTACCACTATGTATATATGTTTAATATCTGTCTTTTGAAATGCAGAAATAGTTTAAATGTTTCTTTGTCTATTTTTCTTTTTTTTAATGCTACCCAGGGAAATATTTTCATATCATTTTTAAGTGGCCTGCCTCAATGTATATTTATTTCTTTTGAAGCAAAAAGGTTCTGGAAACTGTTTTTCTGTAGCTTTAAATGAATAGGTGAGCAAAATCTATATGGGATGTAATTTTTTTGTTCAGTCTCTTAAAAAATACTTTGTTTTTGGTACATTTGGTTGTGCTTGTGGGGAAAATAAAAACGCAGAGATCCTTATATATTTATGTTAAAGTAATATTTTATTATCTACATAAAACAGAAATGCACAATACCTTCATAGTTTGTTCTAATTATTGAAATATCTTTATTTTATTTTTAAAGATAGTGCCATCAAGTTTTAAGGGGGGAAAACCCTAGACCTTAAATTGACTGAGTTGAGTTGTGTGTAAAACACTTCCCTTCCTTTATACTTCATAAAGTTTTGGAATAAATTTTATGCATATACCGCCAGATTTCATGTTCATAACTTTCAGAGGCTTTTTTTTTTTAAATGGAGACTACTGGTCTAATTCACTTTTCTTTGCAAAAACTATTAGTCCCAAATCTTTCAGCCACTATGCCTGTAGCATTAAATAGAAATGGTCATTGGGTTTGAGCTTCAATTTGTTGAGATGTTTGTCCCCTTTAAATATGTGCAGATATGCCTGCATCTTCTTTCCAGGTTAACTGTACTTTATTCAATTGTGCAGTTTTGGAGAACATCAGTGGAACTAGGTGGACTTTAATCTCTACCCACAGGTCCTCATATAATTTGGGATCTACAGAAAGGCAGGATTTAGGAGATTATTATTTTTAATAATTTACAAGTATCTCTTAACAAAGAATAACCCTGATAGTATGCTATTGTATGTTTACTAAATAATTAGAAGTAGATCCTATACATTATTCCTGTTTGGTTTGCATAAAAAGATGAATTTTACAATGGTTTATACAATTGTGTCTATTTTTCATTAGGCATACAAATGGGCTTTAAAGCAAGTAAAGAAAAAAAAAAAAGAACATATGGGAGAGATTCAAGCCGTGATGCTAATAACAGATTGTTTCAGACAATCTTAGATGACACAGTACCAAAAATCCATTTTAAGGTTAGTGAGAATTTCAAGCAGTGTTGGATCACTTTACAAGTTTGATGATGTATTTAAACCCCTCCTTGGAACATTGGTTTAAGTATAAATGTCCATTTTGAAAGGTAGTTTCTGGGCTTATTACATCTGATCATCTTTTCTAACTCCTAGTCAATATTACATGGGTCTCAAACAGATTCCACCAAATGATCTTCTCAATAGTCTGAACGAGAAGTGACAGAAAGAAGAAGTGTTTTGTGACCGCAGACATGCTGATGGGTAAAATGTTTAAGCTGGGTATAGATTTGAGTTCTGGGTCAATATTCTCCTCTACTGCAGGCAGAAAACAAGCAGCATCTGCCCTCTGCAGGGCATTTTAGTGGACCTTGAGAAGGCATTTTTGTTCTTAGCCACAGGGGCTGCTGACTGGAAACCATCACATGTTAAACGTGCACACCGTGGTTTTGACCCATGCTTGCTGTTCAGATCCTAAGGCTACTCAGGTAGTTGCCACACTGGTTTGGGGAATGTATTACACACTAATGTGGAAAACCCCATCACTGCCACTGGGAGAAATTTGTGGGTCAGTTGCCCCTAAGATGTTGGCTAGCCATAACAACAAACCCTTTCTTTCTCCTAAGACAATGCAGAATACAGCTGTCCCAAAGACCTCCTGTGTTTCTTCAAAGTATGTTACTTTTAAAATTTATGTAATAATATGGGGGAGAAATGATCATGTGAAAAAGAGTTATGTGAAGGTCAGATGGCGGGAATAGCCACAAATAATATTACGTTTGGCAGTCCTAAACATTCTCGGTTCCCACGAAGTAACCGCCTTTACATTTCAGATGGTAGCAACAAAAGCACTGTTCTCTTCCCCTTCCCTTCCTGCTCCTACCAGTGGAGGCCACACACTGTTTGGCAAAATTTCTGGTGAAATGGCTTTGGTAAAGACATTCATCTACCTTCTTATTTTTTCAAAAGCAACTAATAAAGAAATGCAACAGCAACAATGGGGGAGGGGGGTGGCATTTGGGTGCATTGGTACCTGCACATATATGTCTATATGCTGCATTCATTTGCTTTTCACTTGCCTTACTTTGGAGGCAGCTTGAATAGTGCTGGGGAGCCAGGTTAAATTATCTTTCTATCACTAGTCTCCATGATTTGGCTTGGTTGATTTTTTCAAACAGTTTATAGAACTCTGTTCTAGATTCTATTGAATTTCTACACAAGTTTTAAAATGAGGCAAATAATGAAACTTGTACAGAAAAAGAAAGAAGGCTGGTGCAGTGAGGGTCAAAGGTAAAAGTGATTCTTTGGGTCTGCTTGTATATTTCAGTGAGTAGGGCAAAGCACAGTGTTTATTTAAAATGAAAGAAAAACATGCATCTTGAAGTACTATGAATCTTGATATTATAACTAAATGGAATGTACAACTATGTTTTATATAAACATTTTCCCTGTTTAGGAAAGTTTACTTTTCAATCATGCATATTCTTTTAACGGGGGCAGACGGCCGTAGGAAAGAATCAGGGCTTCTGATACCTCTTCCCACCATTTGATTCAGGATGGGAAACAAGGCAAAAGTGGCAGGGGCCTGCCACCCAGCTAACAAATCATGGAATTAACTGACCCATGTTTTCAGAACTGGGCCAGTGTTATTTTAATGCTTCCTTATCAGGCAGGCATGAGGGTACCAGAAAATGGCTTTTTTCGTTTTCCTAAAGCCTTGCTTGACTGATAAGGAGATAAGGAAACAACGAATATTTTAACATTTTTCTGGTGTTTGGTGGGAAACTAGGAAATTTGTTCCCTCCTTTAAAAGAAGAAAACTTAATAAACTTTATCATACAGTACCTTCCTTTATCTTAAAGACACCTCTGCTTGACTTAGCTGTTAGAGGTTTTAGAAATAATTTATTATGCCATCAAAACAATCCTGGCCTCTTTTATTGTTCCTAGAATTCTGATTGTTGGTAACATTAAGTTGTATTTCTTTTTTTTTAAAAAAAAAAGTCTGAAATGTTATTTAATACACCAGTAAAAGTGCATCTATAGCCTAAAGTTTATTCCTTCCACGTCTTTCTGAGTTTTTATAGCTCTTTGTCTGGGATTCGGGGAGAGGAGGACTTCCATACGCGGTTTGTGCGTGAAGAGCCTAGGCTCAGGAGTGGTCTCTAGTTGGCGGCAAACAGCTCTCTGCTCTCAGAATGGGGAGCTGTCATCTAGGAAAAAAGAAGGAAATAAATCCCCCACAAAGACGTAGTTGTCACCAATTTTAGGAAGACGGGTAGCACTAGGACCCCATCTGAGGGCTATGGAGGGGATTTTGATTTTTATGAGTTGTATACGATTAACTCTGTGTGTCGAGTGACGGCAATAGGAAATCTCACTGTGGAGTAAATGTGAATTTGCGTCCTTTTTTATTTGGGTAATATATTTTTCCTCCCACCAGTGTTTCCTCTGGGTTTGTTGTTTAAAAAGGAAAGAAGGAAAAAAAGGCCAGACACCAAAAAATGTGGCCACAGAGAGTTTGGAAGGAGAATGGGAAAAAAGAAAGTTTCTTGTGGGTTTGTAACACAAATTAGCCATTGCAAATCACTGGGCTTCAAGGTTCAGGCAAATCTATATGGAAAGTGTTAGGAGTTCTTTTCCTCCTCCTGTTAAGAAATCTCATTTCGTCAGAGGAATTTTTATGTTCCACAGCACATGATTCTGGAGATAATTATTTGACATTAGTAACTTTTTGTTGATGTTGTTCCCCTAACAAATATTCCGTCAAAATTGGTGCAGCGCCTGGACAAGGCGGACGAGTGTGCTGCCGGCCAGCATCTGCTCCTTGCCCAGTAGCAAAAGAGGTGCCTTGGCCTTGCCGCGCACCCCCAACCTCGGGGACCCTGGCCGCTGTCGCGAAGGCCCAGACAGCTCGACTGGGCTGCGCGGGGAGGAGAGAGAGGGAAAGGAGCGGGGCACTCCCTGCACTTTCAGCCCCGGCCTTTGCTCGGGACGCTGCCAACAGTTCCTGAGTGCCTGCCTGGAAATCAGGGATTCTCTGCGGCTCCCCAGGCTCCGTCGCCCGGACCCCCAGGGGAAGGGTCAACAGCTCGGACGTCAAGCTGTTCCATTCTCTCGCTTCCCAAGGAAGGGGGGTGGGGGTAAGGGGGACAGTTGGTGTGTTTGCCCCCTACCCCCAGCAGAGGCTAGAGGTGGCGGTTAGGAGGAGTCCAGGTGTCTTGGGTATAGCCGTCGCCCCGGAAAAGTGGGATCTAGACGAAGGAGTTGGCAGGGCCTCTCTGGGGGCGCGCGTGACTTGGGCAGAGATGCGGTGGGCCTAGGAGTGACAGGGGGTCGAGGCCGGGAGGAGAGTCTCCTAGCTTTCTGCCTGCCCGGCTTTTCCACTTGACTCTGCAGAGTCGGGTCCAGGACATTGCACCTGCATAGGAGAGGCAATTGTGGAAGACGGTGCCCCAAGAGAAAGAGGGAGATGAGATAAGTGCAGGAAGACTGGAGAGGAAAGGGGGACAGCTGCCCAGGGAAGTACAGTCATCTGGGCTTTTCCTGCTTTTTTGAGCGAGGGGCGGTATTGGCGAGAATGGAGGGGGACAGCTGAGAGCTGGGGAGCAAAGTTCTGAGGCAGGTTTCCTTCAGCTCCCACCCATCAAACTTCTGGGTGTTTCTGACCTCAGTTCCCTACCTCCAATGAAGAGGAACCTACTCTTCACGCGCTGAAGCACGGAGGAAAACGAATTCTTAGACCCCCTGGAAACTACTCCCCTGCTGGGCCTAAAGTCAGTTCCCAGCAGAGGAAAGTCAGTTCCCTAGAGAGGAGAGCCTGGGAGCCCCTCTGGGCACCCCGGCATCTCAAGCCAGAGCTGAGGGTAGCAAAAGTAAGGGGCCACGCCTCAGTACTGGAGACCTAGTGTCCATCTCCGAGAACTGGGGCTCTCAGGGCCCGCAGAAATCCCCCTTAGCCCTCCGAGGCCCCTGGAAGGAGTCGCCCCGGGAGAGGAAATCACTCAGCTCTGAAAAGCGTCGCGAACTGGCGGTGGGAGAGTTCTAACGCGGCCTTTCGCCTCTCGGAGGAGGTGAGGCCGAGCGGGGATGTGCGGGTTTCGGGCCCAGAGCTGCACCGCAGGACCGCAGAGGCGGGAAGCTGGCCGGAGAGGAGTGGGAAGGCGACCAAGGGCAGCAGCAGGGGCTCCTGCGGGGCGCAGGTCTATGCTGGCGCCGGGCCTGGCCTCCGCCGGCGCGGCAGAGCCTCCCGATTGCTCCCGCCGCACCCGCCCGCGGCCACTCACCCAGCCCCGCGGCCAGCCCGGGCGGGGTCGCACGCAAACAAGGATGCTTCTATTTACTCGCCTCTGCCTGTAGATTTCTAAGACATTCAGCAGGCACAATCATTAAACTAATTTGTATTTGATTGTTTGGGCGGACGGAGGGTAGTTTTATTGCGCTAAGCATTCAAGCAGGCACGCATCGCTGATTACCAGTATACATTAAATAAAGTTGTTTGTACACATTGTCTTACCACATATAGGCAGAGGCTTATTATTCTAATTACTCTAATTAGTGCATTGAAATGTTTTCTACTTGATTTGAGGAGACAGTGATTAGTTCTATTACTTCTTTTAACTCGTATTTTATGGAAAACTGTTGGTGCATGTTCAAATTACTTTATTTGCCCCTGGAATATAACGCTGACCCAAACGCAGTGAACTGCACGGCCCTTGTGGGGCCCCAACTTTGATGTGGGCCTCGGCTTGGAAGAGGCGTCTGTTATTTATTATTTCCCTCCTACCAGCGTAGCCTGGTCTCCCAGCGCCGTGCCCGCCGCCCTCGCCCCGTCCTGTGCCCCAGATGCG